CTAGTAGTGCAATTGCTGGGTCGTAGGGTGGTTTTATTTTTAATTGTTTGAGGACCCTCCATGCTGTTTTCCAGAGCCGCACCAGTTTGCATTCCCACCAGCAGTGCAAAAGAAATCCTCTTTCTCCGCATCCTCGCCAACATCTGTTGTTGCCTGAGTTATTAATTTTGTTTATTTATTTTTAAAATGCCGTGTAATTATTTGTTGAAAGATGGGGTATAACATAGTGGTGAGGTGTGGTGGTAAAGGAAGCATTCTGTAGTCCTATGATTAGGCCTCAGGCTTTTGGTGAGCTTTTGTTCCTGACTGTAAACTTCACCAGTGCTTCTCAGCCTTCCCCTTTCCCTTAGGCAGGTTAGGCTCCAATAAAACACCAGTAGGTGCGACTCTACTGAAATAGATCTCCTAAAGTCAGACCTTGTTAAGAAAAACAGATGGGGTGCCTCGATGGCTCAGTCGGTTAAGTGTCCGACTTTGGCTCAGGTCATGATCTCACAGTTTATGAGTTCCGGCCCTATGTTGGGCTGTGTGCTGACAGCTCGGAGCCTGGAGCCTACTTCAGGTTCTGTGTCTCCTTCTCTGCCCCCCTCGTGTTCTGTTTGGCTTGCTTTCAAAAATAAATAAACATTAAAAAATTTAAAACCTCACAAAACTGTGTGGGCTCCCCTCTTGGAGTCCCCTTTGGACTTTCTTTTTTTTTTTTTTTTTTTTTTTTTTAATCTTTATTTTTGAGAGAGAGAGAGAGAGAGTACAAGCAGGGGAGGAACAGAGAGAGAGGGAGACACAGAATATGAAGCAGGCGCCAGGCTCCAAGCTGACATCAGAGAGCCTGATGTGGGCTCGAACTCACAGACTGAGAGATCATGACCTGAGCCAAAGTCAGAAGCTTGGCCAATTGAGTTACCCAGGTGCCATCCCCCCTGGGACTTCTTAACTTACAGATATATCCACACTGAACATCCAGCAATTTATCAATTGTAGTTCAGGTTTTCCTACCCGGGCACTGTTCCCACAGAGGTTTCTGCCCAGGCAATTTGTGATTGTATCTGCCTATCTCCAGGTTTTGTGACAGCAGTTTTCCTTGTGACCTCACTTCTCTGAAGTATCTAAGAAGAGTTATTTTTCAGTTTGTTCAGTCTTATACTTGTTGTTATGACAGAGTGGCAACTTCTGTGAATACAGGCACACCTTTTGAGACTAAAGAGAATTTTGTTTCTTCCTTTCCAATCCGTGTAGTTTTTATTTGCTTTGTTTCCCTAACTGCAGTGGCAGTTTTTTAAATGTTGAATAGAAGTGGTTGGTAGGCACCTTTGTCTTGTTCCCATTCTTAAAGGGAAAACTCTTAGTGTTAAGGATTATGTGTGTCATAGGTGTTTTGTAGATACCTATTATCTAAGGAAGTTCCTCTCTCCTGTTTTTTTTTTTAAATTTTTTTTTTT